AAATGATCTACTGAATGCACGTGAAGTGAAATAAAGACGATTTAAGCTCTCTTCAGTGGCTGTGCGTTGAGTCACACCTGGAAAGCGTTTGCCTTCAAACAGATATTTTATTCATTTCACAGTGTCTGATAACTGACACCTCTTGCTCTGAATTATTGAATCAAAATGTCTGTGCTGTAGCAATCTTGAATATGCTGTTCAGGTGTGTATCTGTAAGCTGCAAACCTACTTTTGATTTATTGACATTCACCACAGAAATCTCGTGCTCAGAGTCCAGGACCCAGGTTAAAACATGAAATGGATGAGTGAATGAATAAAATGAAATGGAGGAGAGAGTCTGGTGAAGCAGCAGCAGAACTGGAAGCAGGAGATGGCCAGTTCCACTGCGGGCCTGATAGAAGCCCTCTGGGGGCCTGATCCGGCCCCCGGGCCGCATGTTTGACACCCCTGTTTTAAAGTGATTGTAGTTTTAATCTGAGTGCCTTTTAGGACGCTGGAACACACCGGGAGTGTGTCCAGGTCCTGAAAATCCATTCTTTGCTTCTGGCAGAAAGGAATGTGAAAGCTGGTAGCTTTTTAAAGATAGCATGGACGGTGTGCAGCGCGGCCTGCCCCTTTTATCTCGGCTACCCTGAAACCACCCCCTTCCAGTGCTCATTGGTGCGTTTAAATGTCGCCAGACACTCCCCGGTGTGACGGAGGAGAGAGGGCCCAGAGGTCCGCCTCATCGAGATGAGTGCCCAGAGGTCCACCTCATCGAGATGAGACCACTGAGGGGTCACTCGATACCCCGAAATGAAACAAAGTGCCACTTGGGTGGTCTACCTCTCAGGGTTGGCGCAAGCCAAAATCACCAAAACCGCTCCTGCCACCCCCAAATTGCACCTGCCGCCTCGGGACACTCCCCCTGACCTCTCCTAGAAGGTGGGATGCCCGAGGGCACCCCAAAGGTGGAAACATTTGGGGAGCTCCCAATTGCCCCAAAAAGGGTGCCCAGAGGTCCACCTCGTCGAGATGAGACCACTGAGGGGTCACTCGATACCCCAAAATGAAACGAAGTGCCGCTTGGGGTGGTCTACCTCACAGGGTCGGCACACCCAGAAATCACCAGTCCCTGCCGCCCCCAAATTGCACCTGCCGCCTCGGGACACTCCCCCTGACCTCTCCAAGAAGGCTGGGGTTCTCTAGAGCATACCTCGATACCATGGCGCACACTGCAGGACCTGTGTTTCGTTTATTGCAATTCCCTATGATTTATTTCCTCAGGGTTTATTTCACATCACACAGAAGGGAAAGGGACTAGTTTGGGTACACTCTGTGTGTGTATGGTGCTTAGCACACAGAAAGATACCTCAAAAAACTAATTTCACATTGGGGCAGATTCCCCTGTTGGATACACACCTCAAATCACCAGTCAGTTAGCAAGCAGGCACACAGCTGTAATGTCTCAAGGACACAGCAAAACTCCTGCACAGCCAGGCTCTGGGAGGGAGGAGGGGGTGAGGCTGGCAAGAAAGGCTGGCAAGAAAGGAAGGGGGGGGGGACAGCCAATGCTCCCTCTAAGCTGTGGAGTCTTGCGAGCAAAAATTCTACTTTGTGAGCTACCGGCATTAAAGCGGTGAGCGAGCGATTTGGCTACTGCATAAATCAGTTTGCTCTGGAGCCCTCCTTCCTGAGCTAGGGCAAAAATGTGTGAGCTGGAGGCTAAAAGACTGTGAGTTAGCTCACACTAACTCAGCTTAGAGGGAACACTGCCTTAGATAACTAATGCTCCCTCTAAGCTGTGGAGTCTTGTGAGCAAAAATTCTACTTTGTGAGCTCCTGGCATTAAAGTTGTGAGCTTTGGCTACTGCATAAATTAGTTTGCTCTGGAGCCGTCCTTCCTGGGCGAAGACAAAGATGTGCGAGCTGGATGTTAAAAGACTGTGAGCTAGCTCACACTAACTCATCTTAGAGGGAACAATGAAGATAAGCAATGCTCCCTCTAAGCTGTGGAGTCCTGTGAGCAAAAATTCTACTTTGTGAGCTACCAGCAAGAAAGTTGTGAGCGAGCGATTTGGAGACTTCATAAATCAGTTTGCTCTGGGGCCATCCTTCCTGAGCTAAGGCAAAAATGTGTGAGCCAGAGGCTAAAAAACTGTGATCTAGCTTACACTAACTCAGCTTAGAGGGAACACTGAAAAGCAATGCTCCCTCTAAGCTGTGGAGTGTTGTGAGCAAAAATTCTACTTTGTGAGCTCCTGGCATTAAAGTTGTGAGCGAGGGATTTGGCTACTGCATAAATTAGTTTGCTCTGGAGCAGTCCTTCCTGGGCGAAGACAAAGATGCGTGAGCCGGATGCTAAAAGACTGTGAGCTAGCTCACACTAACTCATCTTAGAGGGAACAATGAAGATAAGCAATGCTCCCTCTAAGCTGTGGAGTCCTGTGAGCAAAAATTCTACTTTGTGAGCTACCAGCAAGAAAGTTGTGAGCGAGCGATTTGGAGACTGCATAAATCAGTTTGCTCTTTTGCCCTCCTTCCTGGGCGAAGAAAAAATGTGTGAGCCAGAGGCTAAAAGACTGTGAGCGAGCTCACACTAGCTCAGCTTAGAGGGAACGCTGCATATGAGCAATGTGGAGTCCTGTGAGCAAAAATTTCTACTTTGTGAGCTCCCGGCATTCAAGTTGTGACTGCAATGCGCCCTCTAAGCTGTGGAGTCTTGTGAGCAAGAATGCTACTTTGGGAGCTCCCGGCATTCAAGTTGTTGTGAGCAAGCGCGACTGCAGAAATCAGTTTGCTCTAGAGCCTTCCTCCCTGGGCGAAGAAAAAAATGTGTGAGCCAGAGGCCAGAAAACTGTGAGCTAGCTCACACTAATTCAGCTTAGAGGGAACACTGAAGATAAGCAATGCTCCCTCTAAGCTGTGGAGTCCTGTGAGCAAAAATTCTACTTTGTGAGCTCCTGGCATTAAAGTTGTGAGCGAGCGATTCGGCTACTGCATAAATTAGCTTGCTCTCTGGAGCCCTCCTCCCTGGGCGAAGAAAAAATGTGTGAGCCAGAGGCTAAAAGACTGTGAGCTGGCTCACACTAACTCACCTTAGGGGGAACCCTGGAAACAGCCCAGCCCTTGAACACAATGAGGCTGCAAACACTCTGGCTGGCGGTGGGGGAGGTGCTGATGCACACGTGGAACCTGGAGGTGCACGCTTTGGGTTTGGGGGGGTCAATGAGATTGCAAAAACTTCCGCCTTTGCTTCGAGCCCCGATCTAATTGGCTGCTTCCTTTGCCCCGCCCCGTCCCCGCAGTGAGCCGGCGCAGGCTACCTTCTGTGCGTGGCATTCAGAAGGTTCCTCCCTCCAGGACGCATCTCTGTGTATAAACTTTTTCGTTTTTCTCCCCAAAGGGAAGAAAAATGGTCTGAAAAATGGTCTTTTCTTATTTGCTAGCCGGGGGGGGGGGCAGGCGCTGGATTTCTCTGTTTTTGTTTTGCAGTCTTTATTTCCTTTTTTAAAAGGATGGAAACGGGGGATGGAAAAGGATGGAAACTGGGGCGAGGAGAAATGTTCTGCTCGCATGCTTTCGCATGGCGGTGTGGAACCAGAGACTCTGGCGTTCTGCTTGCTCGGTAAGTCAGCCTTAAAACGCTTGCTTGCTGCCTGTCTTTGTGTGTGTTTTTTGTTAAAAATGACTGTTTGCAAACTTAGGTCTGCTTTCTATGGTTAAAACTCTTTGCTGGCATCTATCCACAATGGGCTTGTTGGGGAGGATTTCCACGTGGGTTTTAATTGCTATTGATGTGTGAAATCAGTGTGAGCCGCCCTGAGCCTGATTTGTGGGGCGGGCGGGGTATAAATGAATGAAGTCAATAAGAAAAAATAAATAAATGCTTACACTGTGCTGGTTTCCTTTCTGAAGGGGCTGCCTTTTGCTCTCTCCCGTGTGTGTTTCAAGGATTTGAAAAAATAAATTGTTATGTTTGGTTCGTCAGGTACGTTGTTTACAATATAAGTGTGCTCATGCATTTCTTGGATGTACCTGGAAACAGCCCAGCCCTTGAACACAATGAGGCTGCAAACACTCTGGCTGGCGGTGGGGGAGGTGCTGATGCACACGTGGAACCTGGAGGTGCACGCTTTGGGTTTGGGGGGGTCAATGAGATTGCAAAAACTTCCGCCTTTGCTTCGAGCCCCGATCTAATTGGCTGCTTCCTTTGCCCCGCCCCGTCCCCGCAGTGAGCCGGCGCAGGCTACCTTCTGTGCGTGGCATTCAGAAGGTTCCTCCCTCCAGGACGCATCTCTGTGTATAAACTTTTTCGTTTTTCTCCCCAAAGGGAAGAAAAATGGTCTGAAAAATGGTCTTTTCTTATTTGCTAGCCGGGGGGGGGGGCAGGCGCTGGATTTCTCTGTTTTTGTTTTGCAGTCTTTATTTCCTTTTTTAAAAGGATGGAAACGCCTTCCCACCGAAGTGGTGCCTATTGATCTACTTGCAATTTCACCGATACTCAGATGCCGAATCATCGGGCTAGTCTGTACTAAAAGGGTAAGCTCAACATAAAATAGTCCGCTTACAAGACCAAAGGAAGAGACTACGATTAAGAATAACCTGACTCTGTGTTTATGTAAAACAAAGATGAGAACAGAAGAATCTCAACGAATTTTTACTGTTCCTCTATTCAGTGTTATCTGTGTTTGTTGTTTCTGAACACTTCTATGTAAATCGTTATTTCTCCACCCTGACAAATAAAAATTATTATCAAGTTTCCCTCTTGCTCTTGGGGGGAGGGAAGGGTCTCTCTCCCCCCCCCATGCTTTTTAACCCATTCCTGTGCAATGCTGCTGCCTTTTGACTTTTTAAAAAAAGGACACTCCCCCCCCCCCTTTGCTGCAATCCGGGTGTCTTTGCTCCCTGGGGCTTGTGAAGGGAGGGTGCAAAACCGGCTGGCTGGAGGGGGGGGGGTTTCTCCCCAGTTGCAAGGGGAAGGGAAGGTCGCACGACTTCCGGTACTGCTACTGAGCATGCTCAGGACTAGCACGTGGCGAGAGGAGCAACCAGCTTCTGCGGGAGCTCAGCGATGGCGGGTGAGTCTTTCTCCTGCAATCCTCTGCAGCTGCCACGTTCTGGGGATGGAGGCGCTCGGCT